TGGGGGGTCCGGGGCAGGGGGCTCACCTCCAGTGTGGTGTGCACGATCTTGTCGACGGAGGAGAAGTACGCGTCCCACAGGACCTGGGTCTGCTGCTGGAAAGCCAGCACGCGCTCGGGGTGGATGCAGCGGACGGCGGAGGGGATCTGTGGCGGCGGGGGGGAGCTGGTTTCTCACCTCGGCCCCCCCAGCCCCCCGGCGGGGTTGCCTTGCCTCCGTGACCTCCGTGCCATCCCGAGGGACACCCCGTGCCCAAGGATGCTGTGCCACCACCCCACTGCGGCTCTGCCACCTCCTCTCCCTGGAGCGGGATCTGGCCCAGGACCCCCCAGGGCTTTGGGTTTGTGGAGGCGCTCAGCACCCCTCCGAGATGGACGATGCCCCAGGGCTGCGGCTGGGATGGGATCCCCTGCTCTGGGCTGGATGAGACCTCCCTGCATCCACCCACGGGAGGGCTGCCAGGCTCGGCTGCGGGGGTTTCACCCCCAAGCTTGACTGGGGGTCCACCACTGCTGGTGTCACTACGGGGAGGTCCCTTGTGTCCGGCATGGGGCAGGATGCGGCCGTGGTACCTGCAGCAGCAACCTCTCATTGCCCACGACAGCAGCTTTGCCCCAGTCGATGGCCTCGGCGAAGGGCAGCTCCCAGCCGTCGCTCAGCAGCACGGGGATGCAGGCGGCCTGCGGCAGGACCCCACACGGGCTGGGACAGAGCCCCCGGCCCCCGGCGTGGGGTCCCCCCCCGCCGCCCCGTACCTGCAGTGCCTCCAGAAAGCGGAAGGAGCCCAGGCGCCTGCCCCGGGGCACGATGCAGAAGGTGGAGTTGTGCAGCAGCTCCTGGTAGTTGAACCTGGGATGGGAGATGGGGTGGGGGTCAGGCACGGCCCCCTCCCAACCGTGACCATCCCGGGGGGTCTCGCTGGCACCTGGCAAGGCTGAGCATCCCTCCCGGAGGGCACAGGGCCAGCCCAGGGAAGCGTTAGGATTGATCAGGGCTGGTTTTGGCTCTGAACAGCCCTGGCTCCGCGGGGCTGGTGGAGCAGAGATGCCCTGGGTGATGGAGGGACGTGTCCACAGTCAGAAAGGGAACCTGTGGCAGAGTCAGGAACCAAATTCAGCTCAAAGAGGGGGGTCAGGATGGGACCCCAGTGCCCAGGCAGCGCTTGGCTTTCCATGGTGTTACCCAGCTCCCTCCACCTGCCTGTGACGAAACCCCAGGCAAAGCCAGCGCCCGAAGCGCCGAGCCCAAAACTGGGATGACTCCTCTGCCGTGCCCAGACTTGCTGGGCAGGACCAGCCCTGCCTTCCCCGGCAGCGTTTCGGCAGGGGCAGAGGATCGGCTGCCCGCAGGGGCGCAGGCAGCGTGCCCCCCCCGGGCCAGGCTCACGCCATGGGGCTATGAAAGCCCCTTCTGTGCGGCCGGTGGGGAGAGGCGCGTCCGCTGCCGGGTCTCTGCGACCGCGCCGGAAAATCCAATATTGACATTAGGTCGGGACAGACCCCGTCTGTTCCTGCCCATGAGGAGGGAGGGACGGGGCAGCCGGGTCCTGGATGGTCCGGGGGGGACGCGCGTGGTCCAGCCGGGGGGGGCTGCGAGGCCAAAGGGCTGCTTGAAATGTGCTGGTCCCCAGGGGAAGGGTCCCCCTGCGGTGGGGATGTGGGGCTGGTGCCAACCTGGGCATTGAGGACGTGTCCCCTCCATGGGTGCTGAAGCCCCCTGGAGCATCCCGGCGCCCCGGGATGTGGGAAATCAGCCCCAAGGCACAAAGTTTTATGATCAAAGCCTGCCTCTGGATGAACCACCCCACCGTCTCCAATGGATGCCAAAAACCCCACGAGCGCACCCTGCCCCGGGGACACCCCAGCTCCTGGCTGAGCGACCCGCCGGAGGGGCGCGGGCGGCTCAGGCAGGGCCCAGACCCCCCATGAAGGCGCAGCAACGACGGCCACATCCCCGGGGCCGGGCGCTGCCGGCGCTCGCCCTCGGGGCAGCCCCCGCCCCTCTGGGACCCCAGCCCGGCCATGACCACCAGCGCCTCTGCGGGACCATTCCCACTGCCGGGCTGGGCGGGCAGCCGGATGCGTC